GGCTGGCTCACTGCTGCCAACTAGTGGTCAGAGGCTGAACTACAACATAAAAATGAACGGCTGGCAGGAAAGTTGACATTTTAAAGCTTAATTTAAAAAATGATACAGGGCTTTAGAATATTGATACAGTATTGGGAAATGAAATATCGCGATATTGCAGTGTATCGATATTTTCTTACACCCCTAGTCGATACAACGCAACATTTAGTATTCACAGAACTTGAAGGTAATCCAAATCAGGAGTGCCCAAAATTTTCCCCCAATAAGGCCAAAATGATATTCTATCCAAGGGCTGTGGGCCTACGGAGCCTGCGAGGGGACACGAAGGGATCTTTTTCTTTTCCGTTCCCATGCAATACTTTTGCGTTACCTCGTAATACGTTTGTGTTAACTCACAAAACCTTTTTGCGTTACCTCGCAAACGTTTGCATTCCCTCGCAATATTGTTTTGTGTTCCCACACAAAAGTTTGCTTTGTATGAACTGAATTAAATCAGACTTTTATTTTGAAATATCCAGTTACCAAAAAAGGACATGTCGCCACAAGTTTGGGAAACTGAAATTGATACAGCGTGGCTGCGCCGAGTTAAAATATCAACATATTACATTCGTCTATTGCTAAGCTGAATTAAAGAAGCAGGCTAACTCGCTAATGGTGAGCATGTGAACTTGTTAATAAACCGGTTGGAACAACAGTGATAAACAACTTGCGAGGGAACGCAAAAAGTTTGTCGAGGTACCGCAATGCTATTGCGTGGGAACGCAAAAGAAAAAAAGTCCCCCATGTCCCTTTGTGGACTCCGTACTGGGTCAAAACAACAATATAATACATGAAATTCAAATACTTTGTAAGTAAAGTCTGATTTATGATTAAGCTAGCAGCCAGTGCAATGACCCACATTTTTTGTTCATATTTTCTTTTTTTCAGCCCGCGCACTTGGGGAAAGTTTGATGTAAGTTCGGGCAGCACAGGTTCATGGGCACTTTGGGCACCTCAGATCTGAATGGATAAATGCAGGAATATATAGGTCTGACTCCTTTAACTGGACCACATTTGTTCAGCAAAGAAACAATCGCTCTTCAAAACAAAGTAGATGCACATTACCTATTAAAATAACTTTAACCACTTGTTTCGTGGTGTTATAGTTATTTTTAGCGACGCATGTATAGAGGCCTGCGTCATGCACCACGAGCGTTTCTTTAGATTTAAGGATTGCCGTTTCTGAAGTGTACTCCCAGTAGATTTCTGGAACTGGGTTGCCATCGGCCTCACAAACAAGCTCTTCAGGAGAATCTTTGAACACCAGGACGGTCTCTGGAAGCTTTGTGATGTTAATCTTGGGTTCATCTGTAAAAGCAGAGTCAAAAACACAGTGATTAGTATGATGTCATACGGTTTTTAAGACTGATTACTATAAAGTAAAAGTAATTCTTACAGAACACAGAGACTGTTACGATGTTGGACGTGTTTTGAAGCTGCCGTCCCGTCAGGCCCAGGTTCAGCTCAGTCCCACATTGGACTTCAACTCCATTGTGGAACCACTTCAGAGGGATGTTCATGGTGCATGACACGTTTACCGGAAATCCGTCAGGCCTTTCCGGACTGAAGCTGCAGGTTGCGTTACCTAACGGCTCGATGGTTTTGTTCCCTTGGTGGAAGGTCCACGACACGTTGAGGTTTTGTGCAGGAGCAACACTGATAATGTCACACTGCAGCTGCAGCTCGGTGCCCTCCACAGGTGTTTGGGAGTTATTCACAAGGGTGATGGATACACTTTCTGGTGTTTCTGCAGGTGAGTTAATTAAAAAAGATAAGAAAGTTAGAAAGGAGAAATTAAGCTTATGGTAAATAAAGAACATAAAATAAAAGCCTAGCTTACTAACTGCCACCCAGGGCCGGATCTAGCCAAGAATTCAGGTGAAGCCCCTTGTGCAATTTTCTAAATCTCACTGCCAATTTACATATCAAAGTAAATAGTTTTGTCTTTGGTATTATTTTATTTTTAAACCAGGTAGTCTAGAATTAACAATGTAATTTATTTGAAACTGAATATCTGAAGTCTACCGGCTAACGTTTGCTGACAGCCATGAAGGAACACCTGCTCATGTTAACAAGCAGCAACGGAGTGAAGCAGTTCTAGGGGGGTCCAGGGTTATGCTCCCCTGGAAACATTTATACAAATCTATTCAATACTATGCATTTTCAAACCATTTGAAGAGCATTTTACTAAATTCTTGGGATTAATAAAACACAAAATCAATTTTTTTATCAAGGTAGAACACTAAACCAGAATTTAACCAGATCTCTATCTGAGCTTATAACTAAAACTTCCATTATCTTTTTTTTCTATTTATACACTAAGCAACAGGAATTAATCTTGACTGCATCATGATACTTTTATCACAAGAAGACCTCTGTACCATGTAACACCTCATGTAACAAAGCCGGCTGAGAAACCAACGGAACAGATTACTTTTATAAACTTAAGTAACCAGTGATTATTCTACAAACTAAATTAACTATACCCTAATAAAATTTTAGAAAAAATTTTTTTGTTCTTGACTTGTGGTGCCCCCTAGATGGACGGTCCCCTTAGCATTTGCCTATATTGCCTATGCCACAGACCAGCCATGCTGCCACCTTTCATATTAGAGTTTTAGACTAAGATCATTTTATACTGAGAAACGACACGTACTGGTCAAACTTTGGCAAATATGTGATTTCATGAGGTATTTTGGAATACCATMATATTGTGTTGTAAAAACTCTTGGCAACTAGCATGAGATTTTAGCTCAAGTTCCATAAAACTGACCAAGTTTCATTAAAATGCGTCTTTGTTGTTTGGTAACAGACAGACTAAAAACGAGTTTATGGCAGCATTTTAAACAAACATCTTGTTCAGTCTGTTTGAACTCAGAATATGTGTCAGGGGATCAGCGTCAGCTACTACCACAGCCAATTTCAAGGCTGTAAAACGGTTGTGTTATCGTCATTTTTGTGGTTTTTAAGAGCCTGTAGTTGGGTGTGGTGTTAATTAGACACACTTACTATAGAGAGTGTAGTGTAAAGCTTTAGAGCAGTTTCCCAAACCAATAAACTCTCCATGACAAACGGGTTGAGGGTCCCAGTCTCCGTCAGTGTCAGCAACCCAACGTGTGTTTGAAATTTTATCGCCGTTTCGAGTCCAGAATATTTCCTTAACGTTTGTCTCGACAGTTTTGGATTTGCACTCTACGGACTGCGTTGTGCTTTGGTACTGCAACACCAACTCCTTTGGACTGATTTCAATGGGGCATTCCAGTCCAGCACCTGTGAACAGAAGGGTGAGAGTATAAAAGAATGGTACCATTCTGATTTAAGGTTACAGGCATGCATTATGATAACATGACATTTCCAGGTATGGTGCTGTGGAGAAACACAACAGTAAATACAACCCCTCTGAAGTACAATGGTGTCACTGAAAGCAACAGGAAAAGACTCAGGAAGGATACCCCTCCCTTAATGCAGTCTACTTGGTGCCCACCATTCTTTTGACCTGGACTGTAGGCTACATTTTAGTTAAATGCGTCACCCTCCACATTCCCATAAATATATTTTTATATAAAAGAATCCTAACTGAGACTTATACAGAAATGAAGTACACAAGACAAGACTTAAAAGTTGACTTTTCAAGTGTTCACAAACTGTTCAACAACTTTTACACACAATAAATCTGAATAAGTCTCATAACRTTCATTTAAGTTCCCACAAGCGCCTATAATAAACCATTTCCGTCTCGACATGAAGGAAAACATGTGGTCTTAAAGTGTTTCACACAACTTACTCGACTTTGTCCCGTTAGAAAGCGACAGCAGCTCTAAAAGGAGCAAAAGCACACGAAGCGAGCAGCGATCCTCCATTGGAATAAAATAAAACTAAAAGAAGTCAGAGGGACGTGTTTTAAACAGGAGCTCTCGTTCTGTCTTCTCGAGCGCGTTTAAGGTCGGTTCAGCCGGACGGAACGAGCCCAGAAGTGGGAGGTAAACAGAACAGCTAAGCTAAGCTGTAATGGCTGGAAGCAAGCAGCCGAGCTCCACATCGGCGGAGAGGAAACCAACCCCCCCGCCTCAAACACCGGGCACAGACTCCCACGGGCCGCGGCCCACTCACCGACTCCCACCGTGACTATAAATGTAACAGCTCGGCAGCGAGAAAAACTCAGCTGCCAGAGACGAGAAATAAGCCACTAAACTGAGCCAAATTTGCAAGCAAAATTAACAATAACAGAATAATGTGCAACATTTAAATGCACAAGTTTGTAGCTGTTCTTATTGCATTGGCGCAAAGCCATAAGAAGTAGGGGTGTGCAGCTGCTGCAGCACCTCATGATGCTAGAGGACATGCTTGTTAAAGTCCATCAGCTGGCCTTTTCACAGCAGTTAATGCATGTTCAAAATAAGTATTTTGCGATGCGTTGTGGTCTAAATATTCATAATACTTAGTCTACACCACATGTTAAACTTAAAGGGATCCCCGATTAGTTGCAACATTAGACTTTATATGATAAACATATACTTTAACTGTAAAATAAAGACTGTAAAAATACTGTAGGATGTTCAGTTTTTATAATTTTCAAACTAAAAGTTTAAAAACGTATTACACGGACGGGGCCATTTTATTTCCACGCAAAGCATTCTGGGTAAATGATGACATCAACTAGGTCATCAGCACGAGGCTGCTAGCGAGCTAAATCCACCCTGAAGATTAATCTTGGACAATATCTGATGATCGACTCTTTTAAATGAAACCAGAGTGTTGACAGAGAGGAGAAGGTAGAAATGACTCAGCCTGCAACTGAAAATATGGATGGAGGACTTTAGTTTAGCTTGTTTGTCACACTAGCGTCGAGCTAATACATATAAGGCAATATAGCGTGAGGACTAGCATGAAGGCAAACAGGCTAAGCTGAGGTTCTTCTTCCATGAAGCAGCTCTGTTGTCCTCCATCCATATTTTCAGTTACAGACTGAGTCATTTCTACCTTCTCCTCTCTGTCAACGCTCTGGTTTCTTTTAAAAGAGTCGATCATCAGATATTGTCCAAGCTTAACCTTCAAGGTGGAAATAGCTCCTAGGAGCCTCACACCGACCTATCCACATCGTCATTTACCCAGAATGCTTTGCGTGTAAATAAAATGGCTTTGTC